AAGTCTACTGCTTGTGAAAACAGCTTCATTTCAAAGCCATACTTACAGGGACAGCTATTGCTCTAAAAACAGTGCCTGCATTTCACTAAGCACAATCCTCAATATTTACTGTTCATACAGACAGACAATATCAATACATGCAGTTACTTTTCAACCATTCTATTAAAATACCCACCAATTACAAAGCCCTGAGTCTGAGTTTTTAATATATTCTTACTTTGCAGGTTTTTCTTTTGGCTGATTACAATTCGTGACAGAGATTTCACACCCTAAATAGACAAATCTTGTGAAAGATATTCTACCCAACAGGCAAGAACAGTACACCCCACCTTCTCAACATGTTATAGGCTATAGCTCTCCCTCACGGAATTCGATATTTCTCTCTTTTACCCCTTTTTTTCTCCTTAATCTCAAATCGGGCACCATGGTTTGTCTGAAATTCATGAACAAATCCAAAGTCAAAAAGAAAAGTGTAAAGCGATAGATGAAGAAGAAGATCTGGAGTTTGCTCAATTTCAAAAAATGGAAGGGTGAAAGTAAACAAAAAAAGAATAGAGAATGTGGGAGGCGAAGAAGAAAAACGGCAGTGCCAGTAAAACAGTGAAAAAAGTTTAAAAAACAAAAAAGAAAAGTAAAAGGTTAAAAAAAAAGGGGGAATCTTGTAGGGTGAAGATTAAGATAGAGAGGGGCCCGCAGGAGGCATCACGCCTCATAATGGCAGTGTCTGGGTTTGGGTGTGGGTGTGGGTGATGGGTCTGGGTTTGGGAGGAGCGGCGTTCATTTGGATTGCATGGGTGAGAGTGAGGTCAGAATAGAAATAGTGTGAGTTTGGTCAAACCTTTTTGGCATATTGCTTTTGATTATAATAATAATTTAATTAATTAATTAATGGGGCACAAAATTCGTGCTGTTTATATTTGTCGCTGTTACTGGAGTTTGAGTGGTTGTAATGTTACTTGAGAGGTGTGCCATGAACATGAATGAATATGTATTCTACCTATCTTTTATTCTTTTCTTTTTTCCTTTTTTAATTCTAATTTAACCTTTTATTTTAAATATTTTTAAAATACACAAAAAATATCTATGTATTGAAATAAACGTATAAAAAGATAATTGGGTAAATATATATAAACTGTAATAATGTAAATCCTAAAGGGTAATAATAGTCTGTAACAACATGTGAATCTTTGGGGGTGATATTATAGCTTATATCCATCCGATAGTTCTAGGGTTTTAAGATTAATTCAGATGCATATAAGCTGGTCTGAACACCCTCAGTCATTAAAAAAAAAAAAAAAAAAAAAAGGGTTGAGTCTTGGTTATTTTTAAAACTTACGGGAGTAAAATGTTATTACACAAAACCTCAGGGGAGTTAATGTATCTAACTCTGCTTTTAATGTTGCTCTTGGTAAGACTTAAGAGTTCTTTTCCGCCCAGTAAGATAATGAGGGCATTAAACGAATGAGGCCCAAAAGACAATCCCTAAAATATGAAAAGACAAGGTAATTGATTTCAAATCTTACGAATATTCCCTTTCCCTTAATATTAGGGAAATAGTTACAAGCACCCACTAATGCTTTTGGAGCTGTCAAACATATGGGTGCAAATTTTTCAAATGAAATGAATGTCAAAAGACAATTTTAAAGCAATGATTGATTTGGGGGTCAAATTGATGTGTTAAACGGCGGTGCATTAACATTGTCAAATATTGCTGCGTTGGCTTTGGAAAACAGAAGCAAATCGCTATTGCTTTAATTTGAATCAAACTCATTTTCAATTCAATTATTAAGTTTAATCTCAAGATTCCGTTTCAGAAAAAACGTTGTATTTGTTTCTCAAAATTGGAATTGATTATGAAATATGAACTAGAATTTGGAAGTGGGCTCACCCTCACCTCGCCACATTCATCTTAATCAAATTTTAATCATGTCAAAGATCATCTAACCGTGTGGGGGCACATACACTTTAAATTTAATAATTATGAAAGGAGGATCCATCAAGTAGCAACTATGGGCCCCAGATTTAATTTTAATACAGTCAAGGAAACTTGAACAAATGAAAGTGTCCTGTTTCTGAATGTTTTTATTTATTTAGTGTAACATTCCTTTCAATGGGCCTAAAATTTGTTACAGCAAATTGACTTAATTGCGCCATTAATTGTTGGGAATGGTCATTGGAGTTATTTATTCTTACATTAAAAGAGGAAAACCAAAAATTATTTCTCAATGGTTGAAACTTTGGTTGGTACATGTATGTCCCTTCGCCCAATTATATAGGCGATTAGGCTTAAATTAAGTTTTAGTGTTGATTTGAGGCCCATTCATTCGTTAAGTAAGTCTCATATTTGTTAATGATTTTAGTTATAAATTTATTATCAATCGAAATTTACTTTTTAAAATATTAGTAAAATAAGATCAAAGACCTAATGTTATTTTTAATCTTAAACTTTATAAACACAGTAAATTAATTTATAAAGCCACAAAAAAGAGGCACAGGCTATGACATAAGGATGGTCTAAAGCCCGATTTTTAGGCTCGAGTAACCATAGTTCGGCCCAAACGTTGGAAAACATACAAAAGGCCCCGGCCAGACTTGAATGTATTAATCAACTCATACTATACGTTATAAAAATAAAATATACTTATTTTATACATATTAATAAGTATTATTTAGTACTTTAAAATTATATATATATTGTTGGTACAAAATTAATTACCAAGCAACGAGATTCAATCGACCTTGCCAATATCAGAATTGATGTGTGCGTGATTAGTGATAAACTGATAATCAGCGACAAATATGAATGAAATTGACTAAAAACAAAGAGATTTTTAAAGTGGTTCGGCCAGGTTAACAGCCTACGTCCACTGTGTTTTTGTATTTGCTGTGAGAGTTTACAATGCAATACTTATATGAGATTCCTAGGAAAATTTACTTAGAACAATTCCCCAGCCCCCCTGAAAATAAGTTATGATGGGTTTATGCAGCATCCATTTATATGATAGAGTTGAGATAAGATTCAAAATGTAAGATTAAGAAGTTGCATAATCTTTGACTACCTTAGTTGAAATCTAAGTCAATCTGAATTTCATTATTCTAAATTGAGCCAATCTAAATATTTTATCTCTTAATGAGGAATTATTTTCTCCAGATTTCATGCACAACATATATATATGAAAAGTAATAGAGACACCGAGAGTAGTGCACCGAATGATGTAGCGAAATCTTGATCATCGATTAATATTAAGTTATAATTAATCGACGGTTAGAATTGAGCCACGTCATTTAGTGCATAAATTCAGTGTACCATTCTCAGTGTCTGTAACATTACTTATATATATATATATATCGAAAATGTTTAACACAAATTAATTAATAGTAAAAGTGTAAAACCCGAATGGGTTGGCTCGAATATTTAAAAATGAAACGTAATCCTAACATAGGGTGACCAGGGTTTTGACATTGCTAATAGAATTATCAGGAATTCTCACCTTTAGTCATGACAACCAAGCAAGGTTAGTTTAGAGAGAGGAGAAAACAAGAAAGTTCAAACAAATATTTGGTGGTTAAATAATTCAACACCCGCTAAACAAACTAATCCTTTTATATATACGGACAAAATGCTTGGTGATATTCCCATTATAAATGCTTTTACTATTTTAATTTTCAAAATGTCAAGGCCTAGATAAAGGGCAGAATTAGTTATAAAATCAGGTGACTTAACCTAATTTTCCTTAATGAAATATATCTATAACAAAAATAACCAGAATATGCTAGACTATCAAGTGTAGCATGGTTTGGTATAGTCCAGTATGCTTTAATTAGATTATCAAACTATATTATTAAATAAATTAGGTTGTCAAACTATACTATTAAATGTTAAATTCGAGCTAGACTATTAAGTCTATACTCTAGTGTTACATATTAGTTACATATATACCATTTGTTGTTTCATTAATCGTATAATTGGTAAGTCATTAGATTTTATGGTTCAATTTGTACTTTAAATAAAGCCCGCATATTTTGAGAAATTATGATTATTGAGTTGGTTATATATGTCTAAACTCGTATTTTTATTGGCTCTTATAGGTTCTCTCTTCTGTCATTTTAGAGTATATGAAGGAATTAATCAATATTATGAGGGTTTTTAGTGTAGAAAAAATTTGTAAAAATATTGTATATAGATATAATTAAGTAATTTAATTCTTTATGAAATTATAAATAAAAAATATTACGAGTATAAGAATTACTTAATTATTTAGTGGGTTGGACTGACAAATTAATTAGGTGGATTCTAATTGGTGACACGTCTCACTAAAATATTTGGGCTGAGATTTCTTGTAAACTCGAAGTTGGAAAGGGCTTTTATTTGGGCCCTCAATTTTAGTAACAGTCATGTCAATGAAAGAAGGTATGAAATATGAATATCTTTCAAACTAAAAATTAGTTGACTTCATGACCATGCATGAGCTCAGGACCTCAGGTAGCATAACAATTTTTTTTTTTTTTTTTTGAGTAAACCTGGTAATTACCTTTCCTGCGAACCGAAGATAAGACTCCTTAGGTTTAACTAACCCTAATAGTAATAGGGTTTGCCATCCGACAACAAAAGGAGATCGATAAATTTTCTTTTTGCTTTTATATATGTTGCATTGTTAACTTTATTTTGTGAGTTAGAAACCTAGCTATTTGTATAATATGGAAGAAAGGGTGACTACCCTGAATTAACCTCAACTTCATCTTACAAATGCATATAGGATTCATTTGATATTTTACTAAATATTGTTACTTAATTATAGTTTTGAATACTAGATAGTAAAATGACATTCACTGATTTACTGAAGAGCGTATACAGATGATAATCATACAGTAATACTGTTATAACATGCAGTGAGGATATGTAGTGTAGTGAACTATATATATTCCATTGATTCATAATATGGTATTATATAAAACCATATTATTTTTTATGCCAAGACATTATTATATTTCATGTCCCATATTTATATATTAGCAGGCATGCATAAAAAGCAAACTATTATATCTCGTGGGTGTAAACAACATTGGGAAAGAAGCTTTGTTGAACTTCAAGTGCCAGTTCCTCCAAGCTCAGCTGACATTCCAACCCTATCTGTAACAACAATTGATTAATTAATAACAGAATCATTAAACAAGAGAATTTTTACATGTACACATACATATGTTTACAAATTCATGATCATCAAGAAATGTATTGCAATTATAAGATCAGTACATAATAACCATTAAAATCATGCAATATATATATGGCAAAAGAAAAAAGAGCATGCTTTTAAAAATATCCCATAATTCAGTTTAATCTAACAGGAAAAATTCTCATATCAAATAAATCCTTCTCTTCATAAACGTGAAATCAAATGACAGTATATCGTTAACTGTTTTAGGATAAAAAAAAACTAAATACAATCTCAAGTATGCTACCTACTAATGATAAGTTAACTCAAGAATAGAAAAATGATAAAAGAAAAGAAGTTGTATGTGATAACCTAAATTTTGACGAGTCTAGTAGTTTATGAATTTGATCCTGTTAGCTACTTAAATGTATTTAAATGCATTCTCAGTCACTTAACTTTACATAAAGTAATCTCGAACTGTCATAAGTCATAACCATTTCTTAAATTGTGCTAGCAATGTTAACGGGAATGTTAAGTACCATTATCTCCCAGATGATGCCATATATTTAGTCATGTATTATTCTAATGTGGGGATCGATTAAAACTGTGATCACACAGTTGCATCTTGTTCCCCTTGCCTCTGTCCTTCGGTAAAAAATGGATAGTTTACTTTGGTGCAATTGCTTTATCATTTAAAGGTACAATCTATAGAATTGATACATATTTGCTTATTAGAATTTGAAAGGCATGGTTCCAAGTTTGCACTAGTTTCTTAAATGAGGATGACTGTTTTCAATTAGTAAAAATGGTGATTGACTGTCTAATAAATAATCGATCTTTTAGCTCATAAAATAAGAACCATGAAATATCGATATACCTTTTTCTTTCATCTTGAATAAATGGTTTAATGATATATACCTTGATGACAAAGGAGTATAGAACAGTGTCCTCCATGCTACTGATGTTGAGATGAAGAACCTCAAATGAAAGTTTCTCCAATACACTGACTATCTTCACAATTTGACCCGGTATTCTCCTCGCTATTACTTTGAGCATGACGTTGGATCCTGAGATCTTTGCTTCCACATCTGCAACAGAAGAGTTGCAGCATGCTCCTAGTTCCTTAAAATTCTCAATTCCAAAAGGGGTATGAACATGATCACCCGATTGAGGAGTTTGCACTAGTGGTCTTGGACTAGGACCAGGGCTAGGGCTTAAACTCTTCCTTTGTTTCTTCGACTCCAAAGCTTGCAGAACTTGATGCAGCTCCTTGATAAATTCTATCACACCACCTATTATCGATGCTTGGTCCCCCTAAACAACGAAAGATTTAATCAAAACTAACGCCAGAGATCAGAAAGAAAGAGAGAGAAGGATTTTTAATTTACCCTTTTGATGTAGAAACACGGGGTTAAAGAACGCAAAACCTTGAGGTGGTCATTCATCTGTCTTCTTCTGTTTCTCTCCACAGCGATGTGAGACATGTTTTGGTTTGACAAAAAGAAGCAATAAACCCTAATTCTAATTTGTTTTCTTTTATTCTCTTACGTGTCTCAGCCTGTCTTCGATCTCTTACACAAACTTATCAAGTGTTGTGTATTTATAGGCGACGATGTAAAGAGAGATAAGCCCAAGGTAGCTACTTTCTTGATTGATATTAAATGCTTTATGTTGTAGTCCCGTGAGGTATTCGTTACTCTCTTCCACTCTCTCTCTCTTGTAGATATTACGTCTCACGTTTATTATCTTGGGTCAATTACATACCCGCGTGAGTTAAAAATAGCAACAAGTTTCCTCTCTTCAACTTTTATCTTTCCTATGTAGGCATATATAATCCACTCCTTCATCAGTTTCATCAGAAAGTTTAATTTCAGTGGGCGGATTCCACGTTATTATATGGTATCCGTACTGTAAAAAATATTTATAACGTATATTGTCTTCTTAATTCCAATGTGTTTAGATTGCCTTTGGAAATGAATTCCTTGAATACTTTTTTTGCAGTATATTCAAGTGTCTCAGTGATTTAACAATACGACTCACCTGGAGTATTTATTTATGTTTTCAGTATCACTTTGTTTAATTTGTTTATTGTCTAATAATGTGAAGACAAAAACAAGTTAATGTATTCTGTGTGTAAGATTTATTAGTAGTCATAAAAAGGAAGTGCGTGTATAAGATACACATAATTTACGTGGGTTTTTGAGAAGTTCAGTTACTGACATGGCTGGCCTGTGTCTGTGGTGTGTAATTGTGATGCATAGATAAGTTTATTGCCTTTTAAGCGATATAGAAATTTGAGAGATTGTCCACCATGTTTGGGGTAGCGGGAGGCTGCATAATCTCATTCAATTTTTGTCAAGCATGGATCTTGGACTGTTGGCATAAGCTAACTTTCAATTGGCCGATTGATGAAGACAGAATTATGGTTATACTGATGATCAGAGCCGTCAATTCAATACTTCTTGTAAGGGTTTTAGTACATAAGCTAACCTATCCATTATGAAGATGACGATTTGCACAGCTAGCTGTAGTGGACAAGTCAAGGCATACCCAAAGTTTTGCAAATAACATATAACCCCATCGATCGCAATATATATTTGAAGAAAACAGCTTCGAAAGCTAGCCTTCGGAATTAAAAATAACACACTACTCATTTCATTGCTACACATGTACAAGATATGAAGGCTCATAAATCACAGGCTTATATATATATATATGCGACAATATATAGATGACAAGTTTTCCATCTTAAATTAAACACATGCAGACGACAAGTCTCATTTATAACATACATTTATATAACATGTCGTCCTCTCTCTCTCTCTCTCTCTCTCTCTCTCTCTCTCTCTCTCTCTATATATATATATATATATATATATATATAGAGTTAATTCAGAGTGAACGTAGCAATATTGCCATGGTAATATAGGGATAGTATGTAAATGTTATGCCCATATATATATGACCATTGTATTGCCTGTAAAGCAAAGTCCAACCATGGGTAATTAAGGAGCATATTGGAGTATGCATTTAGCTGATAAAGCTACTCATAATTTGAAAATTAATCAGTTTTCCTAAAAACATTCAATAAAACTGTAGACAACCAGTATTCTCCAGCAACTTCTGTGTGATTTAGTAGTTCCCAAGGCGATGAGTTTTGTCATATTGGTACACATTAGACATGGCATTATGAACATGTGTGCTTCTTAATGTTACATTATGCTATTATAATTTAAGTCATATTACGTTATGTTATTTTGCTGGTTAATTGGTTTCTATTATCGCCCTGTAGATTGGCATGACCCTCCCTATTCAAAGTTGTCAAGACGGAGTTTAATTAAAGATCAATTAACCGTGTAAATAAGTAAGGAAAATGTTACTTTTACAATATTTTTTCATAAACTTTCTCTTCCAATCCCGACGTGCAATTGGTTAGTTTTGTGATGAGTTCCATCTGATAAATTACAACTAATCAATTGCAAACTGCTATGTTAGGATTATGAGAGAAAGTTTGTAAGAAGATATTATATGTGTAACATTACTCAATACTGCTCGTTCATTGTTGTAATAAACAGTAAACACTATGTAATTGATTCCCTCTTTTAAAGCCTATCTGTGAGTTAAAAGTTATGCCGCTCTGCCCTCTCTCCCTCTCCAGAAAGGAGGCTGGCTTGAAGAAGTAATAGCCACAGTTGTATAAAATAAGAGACATTGTGCTGGAACTACTATTACTGCAGCAAGTTATCGACATTTTCATCAAGCAGAACAATATTTAACTCTACATTTAAACGTAAGAATTTGGCCTCTTCAACTCAATATGCGGATAATATTGCAGCTGAGAAGCAAAAACTTGAGTAAATATTAACTTGTAACAATCAATTTGATGCACCTTGAAGGTTTTGTTCAAACTGCTGCAGTTGTGACATAAAACCATAATTTGGATCTGCCTGTTGTCGTTTGCTCTTCACATGTTCTAGAGCTTGAGATAGCCTCATACCATGCTTTTTCATCAGATAAGCAACCACAATAGTCACACTGCAACAAAGAGAAGAGAATATAAAAATCTAGCATAATCTTCGAAATTTCAATGATGTTAACAGCGAGATATGATTTCTTTTAAACATGCTCTGGAAGTTTCAGTATACTGAAAATTTATATAAAGATTACCATTTTTTTTAAAGAATCAGTTAGAATTTAACCCCTGTACAAAAGTGATCCCCCGAAATCTCTGGCTGTTTGTCACACTTTTTGAAAAATGTTATTACAAAAAAATGTTTTAAGTTGAGTTGAGTTGAATCAATTCAAATTGGATTTGAATCTGAAAATGTATTTGGTAAAATATCTGAAAATGTGTTTGATAAAGTATCTGAAAATTATATTACAGTTAGATAAAATGTTGAATAGTTGTTTGATACATTTTTTTGAAAAAGGATTTTAAGTCAGAATAGTTGTTTGGTACATTTTCTGAAAAATATTTTAGATTATTTTTTTAACCTCCTATATTTGTTAATTTAGCTAAACATCGCCACAATAAAACTTTAAAAATTAACTAAAGCACCCCAGTCGCCCAAGAGGACAGTCGGCCGTCGGCCACCACTGTTGGACAGCAGCCGACAGTTGTTAGAGAAGCGCACGACTGGTTGGACCTCACTGGTTGTGCGTCGATATGGCCATTTTCGGTCAGATCTATGACCATCGTTAATGGCCAGATCCACCATGGATTTAGTTGAAAACGGTCATATCGATCGACGATGGTGGTCTTGGGTGGATTAATTTTTAGATTGGAAAGAGAGAAAAATGAGAAAGAGAGAAAGAAAAATGTTTTTAGTTGAATAAATTTGGATAATCTAAAAACAAATCCCGCCCTCTTTTCAGTTTTAGACAAAAAATATCTTATTTTCAGATTGGATTGGCCCAATAAGTAAACAAACACATATCTTATTTTTTAATCTAAATATGATAATAGAATAATGATCCAGAATAATGTAACAAACATGATTTCTAATTTTTCTTCTTTTGGGTAGTTATAAAACTCATTCCTCTTAGCACAAATGCAAAGTCTTAGTAAGCTACGATATTGATAGAAAAGAAACAAATCAATTGTAATCATAAAACAGCACCTTCCTAGGGATTAGGTCCTGAAAGTGATCATGTTGTGCAAAAAAGCAGGAAGGACTATATTAAGATGCCTCCTAAGATCTTGGTCCAATAAGACCACCACTGGTATTGAACTTTTTGTACACAACTGTTTGGGCAACATATCTTTGAAGCACACCTGAATCCTATTGATTATAATGACTTCAGAAGTTAGATTTCCACACCTCTTTACTACATTTTCTATGATAATCCTGATATAGAACTTATCGAAATCAGTGGGCACAATTTCAAACCCTCAATACAGACAATTCACAGAATGTTTACATAATATGCTTTTTTGCTTTTAATTTTTAGAGGAGAAATGAGTCATCAACACTAGACAGTGAATATTTCAATGAAAATTTTTCAATAGCAGATGATCCCTAGTTAGACAGTAACATAGATAGCGAAAGAAATATTACCTTCTGGATATTCCCATAAGGCAATGAACCAGCACACCACCACCCAGTCTTTTTGCTTCATCAATAAAATTGAAACACTCATCAAAGTACAGCATCAAGTTTGTGTCGTCTCGGTCCATCACTGCCTCAATTAACAACAAAGACCATTCAATTAAGATAAATTCCAATACTAACCAGTGTTAGTAAGATCTACATCAAAATTCACAGGTTCAAGACATTAGACATCTCATAAGATGGGAAAAACAAAATTACTTCTAGGTAAAACCAAAAGTGAAGGACGTTTTATATCTGAAAATATAAGAGAACACTTGAAATTCCCACAAGGTCGCTATATGCTGCGTGGATTCAATCATAAAGATATGATGAAATTGAAATTTTCACACCCGTGACAGAGAAACTGCCATACCTTCTATAGTTTTATATACAAACTCATCTGGAAATGGTGGTTCCCCTAAATCAGCCACAGTTAATATGTGTGTAACATTAGAGCTTTTCAGTGCATCCTTGTTATTTGCATCTAGAAAAGAACCCAAGAACAGAACCTGACATATTGAAGGGAATCATAACAAATAGCCTCAGATACAGAAACCCGGCAAAGAAACAGAATACTGAACAGAAAAATAAATTTAAGCGCCAATAAATAAGCAAAATCATAATTATATTACCTCCTCAATTTGGCACATAACATTCTTTTCTTCAAGGTATCTTGGTGCATTTTTACTTGCCGCTTTACTGCTATCAGATCCTAATCCAAGTTAATCCATAGCCAATAAGAAAAGTCATCTGGTTCTCTTCTTTTGATTGAAATCAGAAACTCAGAAATATAATCCTAAATAACAAAGACTAATATATGAGGTTTAACATGGGTTTAATCAAAACCAAGAAGATTCTCGACAGAAATCTAACAGAAACAACATTAACAGTCCTAAGAAGATCAAAACTATATCAGTTACCCAACGTCTGGGTAAATCAGATTACTCTGTTTAACACTATTCAACGTTGTTTCTTGGATTGCTTTCCGATATTTGGATAATTAATTGTAAAAAAAAAAAATCTTCAAAACGAAGTAGGACAGGAAAAAAACGGAAAAAAAAAAAGAAAAAAGAAAAAATCACCAGGAATCCAGTAAAGTTGATCAGTTCTAGTATGAGCTGAATGGAATCAATTATTATGCAGATCTTAACGGCTTTAAATTTGGGCTACAATTCTTTTGTTCTTAAGTTACGAGTAAGGGCAATCTTGTACCAACAACACGTTTCACAATTTTCTCTCACACTTTTCTATTTGTCAATACAATAATTTACTTTACAAAATTGCAGTTGATAAATAGTAAATTGACACGACAGATTGTGAGAGAAAGTAGATGAAGATGTGTAAGTAACATTTTTGTATGAGTAAATATAGGCAACAAACACTTCTTCACTAATTTTTCTCACAAACCACATGGTAGCCTGTAATGATTAAGATATGACATCTCGCAAAGAATAGTGAAACCCATAACGAGTCGATCAATTTCGAATTAACACGCATATTTATGAAAGAAAATTAATGAAAATTTTGGGAGAGACCTATGTTGCTCTTACATTATTATTTTTTAAATCGTGCGTAGTTGTGAAAACGCTCAATAAATACATTCAGTCTCGTTATCCATCAACACTCGTTAACGTCTCAAAAATGTGTCTTTGCTAAGCTTTGACGAGTTCGACACTGGAAATCACAGACAATAACAAGAATAATCAGGTCTATCCTTCACTTATCATATTTTAAACCAGTTATAATATGAGAATAGTCCACATTCCAACATGCTTATGAACAAATTGCAGTGTCATCTATTGAATGTTGGCCACCAAGTGACCAAGATCTTCTTATCATATTCATTGGCTGTGCAACAAATCGTATCATGTAAAAACATATTTGTAAAACAAATTGTTACAAATGATAAATTTTCTTTGAAAGTAGAAATAGTTCACAAAAATAAATTTTGGCGAATAATAGTAGCATCATTTGACAATCCCAAGTCATATGCAATCAAATAAGTATAATTTACAATGATTGCTTAAGTTTTATAATGGAAGTTTTCTATTCTATTCTATTTGTACCAAGTACTTTCTTTTTCGGAGTTGGAGATTTCAGGACCATAAAACATTGATAATGCCTCTCTGATGCTTCATGTAGTATTAGTTCAAGTGATGTTACCTTGAAGACATTTCTCAAACTCCTGCAGCTGTAAATAAAACCAGCATTTGGTGCAGCCCGAGGCCGTCTGCTTTTAACATGTTCCAGAGCTTGGGATAGACTCATGCCATGCTTTTTCATGAGAAGCTAAACTATAGTTACACTGCAATACAAAACAAATCAATTAGTTGACTTCAACCCAGTTCAGAATAAAATTGTCCACATTCCAGTTCATGGATCTACAAGGAAAGGAATATCACCTTCTGGATCTTCCCACAAGCAATGAACAAACACACACACCCTTTCTTTTAGCTTCGTCAATAAAATCGATACACTCATCAAAGTATTGGGATAAATTTGTATCTTCTTTGTCACTAACTATTCACAAAGAACACGCAAAATTATAATGGATCCTAGAGATTGAAGCCAAATATAGCTGAAGATAAAGATAAGCATAAATAATTTGGCCCAAAACATGTTAAGCATCAATAAACATATATTATAATATTTCAAGACATAGCAACATTTACAAAATGGATAGGAGGCAATCATAATACAGCAATGCAAGGAACAAACTATGGAGCATAAAAGCAATATCTTTTTTTTTTTTTTTTTTCCCTCAAGAACTGCAATGAACAGTTGTTCATGGTTAAATGACGAGAATTCTAGAACTTCAAGGAAATGTTCATTCAGAAGGGAAATAAAGTTTTACACCAGATTTAAAAAAAAAAAAATACCATACCTCCAACAACTTTATACGCAAAATCACGTGGATGTGCAGGAGACAACGAATTAGCCACAGTAAGATGTGTGTGATATTCCTGCTTTTCAGTGCATCTTTGTTACTAGCTGCTCACAAACCCAAGAAGAGACCCTATGGAGTTAAAAAGAATCATATCTAACCAAACTCAGTTAATATTTTTTGGCTCAATTGAAACAAATTCCAGCAAGTTGTTAATCTTATAGAAACAACAAACATACAAGGTTGAAAGATAATATCAGTTAATTACCGGTTCAATTTCACAAGGAATTGTCTTCTCTCAAGCATGTGTTTAAATTCAAAACTCTCAAAAGTTTTGCTATTTGATTACGAAAGGGATCATCAATCTGATCCATCACCGTTAAAAAAAACTCTTCAACTCCTATTTCCTTTAACTGTTAAGATGGGTAGAACCTGCAATAAATTGAGTTTATCTACATTATAACAAGCTCAAAACACGAGGAACACCAGATAGCACAGGAATTTAGATTTAGATTTAGATTTAGATTTCAAGAATAATGCATGAGATTGAACACGGAGGGTGAACATCCTAAAAAAGCAAATGTATTCTCATAAATTGGTAAAGTTATACAGCTGAAAATTTTCATCAACACGAAAATGAATTATTCTAAATACATTCATAGTTTGATCAAATTATAAACAAAACTACCATTTCCAACTAAAATAATTTTAAAGAATCCAAGATTTAGCCATATAAAAATAAATAACTCAGGCTAACCTACATTAAAGTCTTGGCACATTGGTAAACAAACAAACAAAGAAAATCAAACTATATCCTCTACCTTAACCAGCATTTGTACATAAATCCATAGAAAAGGGGTCCGATTCTTCTGCAATGCTCAATAACCCCACTCGACTTTCAGTTAAAAAATAAAAGATAACTTTAAGAACTTTTCACCATTAAAACAATAATCAAACGGGCTATTCAATAAGCAAAATTGTCGAAGCAATCTAACAATATCAGCATTAACAGACCTAACATGGGCTATTTCAATAAAAGGTTCTATTTGAATCTGGAGGTTCTAGCTCCCTCAATTGAGCAAGAATTGCTTTCTTCTTTATTTAATATATAAATAGATCGAGGGAAGAAAACTTCTTCAAGCACGTCTGTAACAAGTGGTATCAGAGCCCAGGCACGGACCACCGAATTCAGAAACTTGAGCAATCGGTGAAAACTTTAGAAGCGGATCAACAAAAGTTTACGAAAACAATAATCAAACAGGGCTATTTCAATAAAGCAAAATTGTCGAATGCAACCTAACAATAGCAGCATTAACAGACCATAACCTGATCAAATTTGCAATACAAACCAGCGAGTTGGATTTCAAAGAATTCCAGAAAAAGGAAAAAAGAGATTAAACATTAATATATGTTTTCACAACGATGAGATGATAATTATAAAAATAAATAAAATAGAATATAATGTAGACTAACCAGGAAGTCTGAATTCGAGAATGAGTGGAAAAATTTTGATTTAACGATAAAGTTGTTGTTAAACAGTTATGCGCCGAAAGTGTGTTTGCGTGAATTGGCGTTGGTCCTTTCCGGGAATCATATTTAGCGGTCTAAAAGTCAGGCCTTAACACCCGGCGAATGTGTTCAACATTTGGGCCCAATTTTCAGCCCATGTTTTATAATAGGAACAATACTGGGCTTTAGGGTGCTGTTGTTTGAACTCCAATAGTCCAATTAAATTTCTATATAATTTTGATAATATTTGTAATTTAAAATTCAAAAGGATAAGACTCCCCAGCCCAGTCAGCCAGCTCTTATTCATAAAGCAACCGGCACTACCCAAGGTATACAAATTCAGTAAGTTCCCTCCAAAGACCCTAAAAAAAAAAAAAAAAAAAAATTTTCAAAATGAATAAAAACTCTTTGAAACTAAAAACATAAACCCGCCACTCACCAGCCGTGTATCTTCTACCACCAACACCGTGGGGCTGCCATCTTCCACCACTAGCATCAGTCGCTGTCGTACACACTAGCGCCGACCATATCTTCCGCCAGCATCGTCATTTTCATCTGCTGAACTTATAAAAAAATTGCTCTCAAAATAGAAACCCATAAGATTGAACCATCTTTTGCTTCATGGTATTATTTCTGTAGCTTTAAAACATCATCTAAGAACAATATAGGAGCTTGAGAGTCATGATAAAATGCTATAAATAAAAGCTAACTTGTTAACATCCGTTGCTTATGTTGTGGTTTGACAATTGCTAGACTATTTCATTGCAAAATAGTTTATTTGTCAATTTGTTTCTTTTTATTGCAGGTTGTGCTTTTTTGAACTTGGTCTTGGTGTTGTATCAAAGTTCCAAAGATGGAAGAGTGTAGTGAAAAAAATCCAGACAACTCTTCTTCTCATTTCAATGTTGTGGAGGTAATATTTTGTTGGTAATCTCTTTTTATTCATTAATATGATTTTAAATTTTTTATGGTATTGTTCCTATCCTTTTTGTTGTATTATTATATTTTAATTATGGCTATTATAATATCAATAAATTAAGATAATCATTTTGAAGAAATGGAAGATACAAGAAATGCAAAGGAGGAATGGGAGCCTAAGCCTGGAATGATTTTTGATTTGCTTGATAATCTTGTCCAACACTACAAAAGCTTTGGGAATAAAATGGGTTTCGAAGTTATTATACGATCTTCAAAGAAAGGATATGATGGAGAGGTGACAAATGCGACACTAGCATGTTCTTGTATTGGGAAGTCGTGCAGTAACCCCGTAAATGCTTTTAAAATGCATCTAGTGACAAAAACCGATTGTAAGGCTCAAATTGGTGCAACTGTATGTTCTGACGGCAAATGGAAAATATGTTCAGTTGTGTTTGATCATAACCATGAACTCAATAGTCCTACCAAAAGTAGATATTTCAAAAGCAATCGAATTATACAACCATATGTAAAAAGAAAGCTTGAAGTGAATGATAGGGCTGGCATTAGGCCAAATAAAAATTTCAATTCCATGTTAGTGGAAGCAGGCGATGCTGAGAATTTTCCTTTTCTACAGAAAGATTGTAGGAACTATATTGAAAAAGTTAGGAGGTTACGACTTGGTGTTGGAGATGCTTTCGCAATCCAAAAAGATTTTTTGAAAATGCAAAATGAGAATTCTAATTTCTTCTACATAATGGATTTAGATGAAGAAGGTCGATTAAAGAATGTTTTATGGGTGGATGCAAGAAGTACGGCTGCATTTAAAGAGTTCGATAATGTTGTGACATTTGACACTACATATGACCAACAGTATGATATGCCGTTTGGTGCTTTTGTTGGTATTGATCATTATGGTCATTCAATACTGTTAGGTTATGGGTTAATCTCCAACGAGGAAACAAAGACATTTGTATGGCTTTTTCAATCTTGGCTTGCATGTATGTTGAATTGTGCTTCTAAAGCAATAATCACTGATCAAGATAAGTTAATGCAAAATGCAATCGAGATTGTGTTCCCTGGTACATGATATAGATGGTGTTTGTGGTATATAATGAAGAAATTGCCGGAAAAACTTAGAGGTTATAGTTAATATGAACAGATTAAGTTTTTTTTTTCGCAAAATGCCATGTATGATTCATTGACATGTGAGGAGTTTGAAGAATGTTGGAATAGGTTCATTGATAGATACAACCTTCATGACAATGATTGGTTGCTTGGATTGTACAATGAAAGATGACGTTGGGTGCCAGCTTTTGTAAAAGATACTTTTTGGGCAGGTATGTCTACTACTCAACGCAGTGAAAGTATGCATGCATTCTTTGATGGATATGTTAATTCAAAAACCACTTTAAAACAGTTTGTTGAACAATATGAGAATGCATTGTGTGACAAAGTGGAAAAAGAAAGGGAGTCTGATTTTAAATCTTTCAAATCATGGATCCCTTGCATAACCACATGCTATGGAGAAACAATTCCAAGATGCATATACCATTGCAAAATTCAAAGAGTTTCAATAAGAGCTAGCTGCCAAGGTCTATTGTGATTTATCTTCTTTCAAAGAGATTGGTTCCTATATGGAATCTATAATAGAAGAAGATGTTTTGGTTGGAGAGACTCACCGTCGTGTTCCTTTTGTGGTTTGCTTTGATGAAGCAACTTGTGATGTTCGTTGCAATTGTTGATTGTTTGAGTTTAGAGGAATTTTATGTCGACATGCAATTGTGGTATTGATTCGTAAGCAAATTTCTCATGTACCAGAAAAGTACGTTTTAAGACGATGGAGGAAAAATATAAACAGACACCATACCAAGGTTAAGATAAGTTATAATAGTTGGAGCACCAATCTTGACGGACAACGATTTGATGAGTTGTCTAGTTTATTCAGCGCTGTAGCAGATTTGGCATCAAGCAATGAGGATGATTGTAATATGGTGAAAGAAATGATCAATGATATGAAGAATAAATTGATGTCAAATAAAAGTTTCGGGATTGATAAAAGACCAAACATGTCAGGTAATAGTAGAATGATTTGTGAAGGCGGTGATGATACTTTGAAAAAAGGGAGTAGTAATATTCTTACTCTACGAGCTGTTCGCAGCAAAGGTCATCCCCCATTCAAAAGAAAACAATCGAAGGTTGAAAAAATTGTTCGTAAAGTAAAAGGGAAGAAATTGCGACAACAAGAAGTTGCTATGAGTTCGAGTCTTGGTCTCACACTTGGATTTAATCAAGCAACTCAGGTATGTAATTCATTTATGTTTCTTTGTCTAAGTTGATGTTTACATGTGAATTGTAGAAATGTATGCAGCCCAAGATTGTTATTTTAGAATAACATGTGGTTGAGTTCTTGTTGTATGTTCCACAGGGATCAAAAGAACTGGAGTTTTAGGAAGTTGGATGCTCATATTCATCAGCTGAAGGGCAGCAGCTCCAGGTGCTTATGATTCTTTAGTTTCTTATAAAAATCATGTATCAAAATGATTGTGTATGTATTTAACTGCTTGTGTGTGGTTTCATTGTTGCTTGCCATATTTTTGCTCCCTTAATGTGATAGGTTAAGATTGGTGCCTGCATATGCTAGTGATGTGAATGAGTTGCTCATGGATGGTGCATTGATAAATGATGCATGTCTTCGTTCGGGAGCACTAGAATTAACTTTCTAATATTGTATTAAGATGTTTATTAGCTGTATTTTTTTTTTTTTTTTTATGGCGGGTCTCCAACATTCAACAATAATTTTAGGGGAGACTATTGGGTTGGTGCAGGATTGTCTGGTGCTACAGCTTCGTTTTTGTTCTTTGCAGTATTGGAAATTTATAGATTTTTGGAGTTTTAGCTTCTTCTAGTCTCTAAAACATTTTTGCAGTCAGTGTAGTTTTTTGTGTGTTGGATCTGCAACTTGGATTTGCTTTTGGATCTGCTCTTGAGGTGTTCTAGTGCTACAACTTTGTTTTTGTTCTTTGTAGTATTTGGGTATGTTTGTTGTTGTTGTGTGATGGGTGGCGTTGGTGCATGGCCAAACAAAGGATTATGGAGAGTTTTGTTTGGAGATGCAGTAGCAGAAAACTGCATTTTTGCAGTTCCCAGAAGTAAGTTTGGAGTTGTACAGTGCAGTGTTTAGTTAAGAAGATTGGTTGTTTGTGCAGTGTGTTCTAGAGTTGCAACTTCAATGCTGCATTTTCCTGGCTATTAGTGTAGTGTTTTTGGGGCATACTCTTTGTATAGATGATCTTGCAATCTTTTTGTGATATGTAAATACTAATCCATATTTGAGAAGCAACAAAAAATTCAATATATGTATATACACATAATTATATTCATAATAAGTTACTTTTTTTTTTTTTTTTGGGTAAACTCAATAATTTTATACAAGAATAAAAGAATTACAACCTGGGAAAGGGGACTCTCCTTTAAAACCAAGATCCTTGGGCATTCCCAAGGGGCAAAACTACAAAAGCTGTACAAGTTGGAAGGAAATCTCAAAAGCAAAAAACGCACAAACAACATGGACCACACAAGCTGTAATAGACACCCAAAGACTGTACACAGCACCAAAGGCAGAGAACAATTGCAGCAGCTTCAAAAACTACACACACGCATAAGCTACACCAGTTGCAAAATCTACCGGAAAGAGCAAACAGAAACTGTAAAAACTGCTGCATCTTCGACCAAGCTATAGCACTTCCTCGGCAACAACACCATTGGAGCATAATCCTCCAAAATACTACGTTACCCACCACAAATCCTGTAACCAACAACCAAAAGCTGCACAAACTGCAAAAAACTCCCAACAGCAAACACACACTGGACAGCCTATACAAACTGCAACAACCTTCTAGAAATTGCACACATTGCATTACCCACCACAAATCTTGTAACCAACAACCAAAAGCCCCACAAACTGCAGAAAACTCCCATCAGCAAACACACACTGGACAGCCTATACAAACTACAACAACCTTCTAGAAATTGCACACACTATAAAAAGTGACATCTTTTAAACCTGGACAAACTACCCGAAATGCAGCAATCTCTTGGAACATGCAAAAATGCAAAAATGTAGTTTAGCTAGAGCTGGAGTTTAGACACCAACCAATCAAACAAGCAAGCCATATATTAATATTTGCTTGTAAAAGCTAAAAGCAAAAAAGCTCCGCAGAATTCCTATTTTTTTTCCCTCTGTTCTGAGACACTAAAAGGATTTGGGGCTGGTGGTAAAATGAATAATTCTGTTTTGAATTAAATTTATTTAATGATTATAATTCTTAAAAGTGCTTAACATTTCAAAAATTTGGCTGTACAAACATAGTTCCCGTTAGACCCAGTGGGGAAGCACAACGTTCCACCTTCTAGAATGTAGCATAAGACCAGCTTATTAAACAGAGCTTGAGAGCAGTCTGCATATATAAATTCTGAATAGCTATCGGTTGGGAAGCCATAATTGCTCTTGATAAATTGTTTGATGCTGGGAGTGACATCAAGTTCCAACTCATACATGTTTTGTCTTGAAAAACTTTCAAAGATAGCAGCTTTGACTGGGGATGGTATGGGCAAGAAGCTTTGGTCTACATCCATGTGAATCAGAGAACACTTTGGTGTCTCATTGATTGATAATTCAGCACTGTTAGGCACTGAGATGGCTAAACTAGAAACTTTAATCATCTCCATTGATTTGACCTTTTCACACTCCCTATGAAAGTATTTAGCGAAAATAAAATTTATGAGCTTACTTCATGATCTGTGGAGTATATCAAATAAATGCTTAATCATAACATGTAATAACAGAATCAACAAATAAAAATAATCATCCTTATCATGGAAGAGTTAGCTACAAAAGTAGATATTATTTAAATACTCAGATATTATTTATACACATCATAAGAATATGTTTCTTTAACAGAAAAGAGAGAGAGGGAGATAACAATCTCTGCACGTGGATGTCGATCAGTAAGTTGAAAAGCCAGAAGCTCATGGAAAATACAACCGTAATAGTATTGACTTATCAGTGTAGTATTCCCTTCTAGAACTTCCAGTGTCTTAGACAAGGCCTTACAGACAGCCTCTTCTTCTAAAATGACAAAAGCTACTTCTAAATCTGAATAAACCTGGAAACAAATGTCAGGATACCATTAAAAATGACTTCTCAGAACTAAAAAGCTGAAAGACAAATTATAAGAATGAATCTTGAAATTCATCTTACGGCTACACAGCTGGATCAGACAAATATGAATCTTCCTCTTAAAATGAAGACAATTAAATACCTGATTTTTCAGAAAACCGCATACAGTTATAGCATGGGAAGCCAGAGAATTTCCTGAAAGATATTTTAGGACCCCAATGGAACTTGGGAGGCTGGACAATTCAAAGTGATCAGAGATGTCCAAGAAAAGATGAGATCCAGTTTCTCTTGTGACATCCAAGAGGTGCACAAAAGCTGAACTAGTAACAGCCTCAAAATTAGCAATTCCAGAAACTACCACCTGAGGCTTCAGCTTCTTTAGAAGCTCCACCATCAAATCTGATTGAGGTGGTGCTTCAATTACTACGAGTACATCAAATCTGACTGAGGTGAGGCATGGCGTGGCGGCAATTGGCGAGGCGAGGCGAGGTGAGGCGAGACATGGCGTGGTGACATCTAGCGAGGCGTGGAAACAACCATTGCAGTTGGTTTGGCGAGACGCGAAGGCTTCCGGTGAGGCATGGAAATGACGGGAAGTCTCTGGTTTGTTGGCATCTGGTGAGGCGTCCCAGTATCTGGCGAGACGTGGCGCGACAGTGTTTGGCGAGATATGGAAAAGAAGATTCGGGTTTGGTTTGTCGGCGTCACAGCGTGTAATGAATTTGGGATGGGATCTGAGAAATTATTGGGAAATTTTGAGACATTAACTGTGAGATGAGAGGTAGAGAATGAGGGGATTTACATTGCAGTGAATGAATTTGATTTAGGGAGTCTGATTTAGGAAGTGAAATTTGAAAAAAAAAACAAATATATAATTTTTAAGAAAACTGATGTGGCAATTAAGTGATGTGGCAGATGAGGTGTCATTTGCCACATAAGTTAATACTTAGAGTTGTACAATCTCATTAGTGCAGATCATTGTTGTTAGTATCCTACGATACGCGATACGAATCATACGATACGAATTGATACGGATCGCCAACGATACGTATCAGAGGGTTTCGATACATTGATATGTATCCTACGACACGATACGTATCAGTTTGTATCTTTAAAAATATCGATACAAATTGATACACGCACCTCAGCCTCTCAATCCCCCTCCTCAACAGTCAGCAATTAAACCAATTAAGCTAAAAGTCACCGAAGTTCTACACGAATTGATTCAGGTAAGCTACTCTTTTTAATTTAGTAATAATCTATTCCATATTCAAACATTCACAGTGTTTGTTTTATTCCATATTTAATTTAGTAATAACTAATTATGGAATTTAGGTAAACTACTCTTTTTCCCTTTTCATTACATATTTGATTTGTAATTGTATGTGAATTTTGATTTGTTTTCCTTACGTTATGCTTCTTCATTTGGTTTTTTGCTGCCTCTTTTTGTCTATTAGATTAGACTGAGATTTGAATCATGAGAAATAAGAAGGGAAAATTAGATGATATTACATGGGAGCATTATAAAAAATTGAATGAGGAAAATAGATTGCATCTTGCATGTAACTATTGTGGTATACCATATTGGGGTGGTGTAATATGAATGAAAAATCATCTTGCTGGAACCCATATCCAAGTTAAGTCATGTAGTCAAGTTCCCGAAGATGTTAAGATGAAATTTCAAGAGTTGTTGGTAGCAAAGAAAGTTAATAAGGATGATGATGATGATATGGTTGACATTTTTAAACAGCAAGATGTTAATCCAAATACAGGTAAAATTGATAGTTTTCTTAGTAAGGGAAAAAAAGGAAGTGGTTCTAACTCTAAGCAAAGAACTTTAAATGAAGTTGTGAAGGATAGGGAAAAGGTAATTCAAGGTATATGTAGATGTCTTTATGGCAATGCATTACCATTTAATTTAGTTAAAAGTCCTCTTTTTGTTGACATGTTAAAGTTAGTGGGAGATTATGGAAGGGGATTGAAACCTCCTACTTTTCATGAAGTAAGAGTTTCTTATTTGAAGAGAGAGGTTGATCTTGTGGGAGAAAAACTTGGAAAGTATAAAAATGAGTGGAAAAAGAATGGTTGCACATTAATGTCAGATGGGTGGACGGATGGAAATGGTAGATCACTGACTAACTTTCTTGTCAATAGTCCAAGTGGGACAGTTTTTTTGAAATCTATTGATACCTCTGAATTTATAAAAAATGCTCAAAAAATATTTGAGTTACTTGATAGTGTTGTGGAGGAGATATGAGAAGAGCATGTTGCACAAGTGGTAACTGATGGAGCATCCGATTATGTAGCTGCCGATAGAATGTTAGAAGGGAAAAGGAGAAAGCTATTTTGGTCTTCTTGTGCAGCTCATTGTCTTGACTTGATTCTTGAGGATATTGGAAAGATTACGGTATTCTATGACACCATTGCCAAAGCCAAGCAAGTCACAAGTTTCATTTATAGGCATACATGGGTGCTTAATTTATATAGAAAATTTTCAAAGGATAAAGAGCTAGCAAGACCGGCAGTAACAAGATTTGCAACGTCTTTTCTAACATTGAGTTGCATTATGGATAGTAAACTAGTTCTTAGGTTCATGTTTGCATTAGAAGAATGGGCAAATAGTACACATGCTACTACAGTTAAGAGGAAAAAAGTGGTGGATATTATCTTGAGTGATACAAATTTTGGAAATCCATCCAATTGCCTTGAAATATGTGGATCCCCTAGTGGAGGTTTTGAGGCTTGTAAATGGTGATGTGAAACCAGCAATATGATACATCTATGAAGCCATGAGAAGAGCAAAGAATCAAATTGCAAAGAATTTCAACAATGTGGAGCATCGATATAGAGAAATATCGAAGATAATTGACACTCGTTGGGATTTTCAACTTCATAGGCCACTTCATGCAGCGGCATACTACCTTAATCCTAAGTAAATGTTGATCATTTTTTTTAATCCATATAAAAATTGCTTGCAAATTTGAATTTAGAAATCTAATTTATGTTGATTTTATATATTAGGTATCATTATGATCCAAACTTCAATCCGGACAAAGAAGTTAAAATTGGATTGTACAAGGTAATTGAGAAGATGTATCCGGATGTGGAAACAAGAGTTGAACTTGATGCTCAACTTGACAAGTTTAAAAGAGGAGTAGGATTATTTGGAATGGATATGGCCATAATAACAAGAGACAAAAAACAACCGGGTATGTTTGCTTATATGTTTGTTATTTATTTATTTATTTATTTTGGTTATAACTTACTAATGTGTTTATTATTATTATTATTATTTTTTAAAATAACTTTATGGTGGGACAGCTATGGAGAAGAGTGCAAAGAGTTGCAAACACTTGCCATAAAAGTCTTAAGCCTTACATGTAGTGCCACGGGTTGTGAAAGAAATTGGAGCACCTTTGAACATGTGCATTCTAAAAGAAGGAATCATTTGGAGCAACAAAGATTGAATGCTCTTGTCTTTGTTAAATATAACCTTCAATTAGAAATGAGGCAAAAGCTTAGGGAGGAGAAAGGAGAGGCATGTGATCCAATATGTTTATTGGACATAGAATCCGATGATGAGTGCATTATGGAAAAAGAAGATCCTTGCTTGCCGAATGATAATTCATGGATGGATGCTCAAGAATGCTTTAACATAGATGAAGTGCTCCTAGCAATAAAAGAGCCAAAGGTATATCTTACTTTGATATTAATCTAGCAATTCTTTTAATAAAAAATTGAATGTACTATATATATTGACGGTTTGATGATTTCTTTATAGGACCAAGGAACTTGAATACTAGCTACAAAAAATCAAAGAAAAAGTTATTGAAGAGGAAGATGTATTGCCCATTTTGCGTGATGAAGACGGAGAAAGTGAAGAGGAAGATATGTTGCCTATTTTGCATGATAATAATAACACTAGTGGAGATATATATATTGACATTGATCTTGGAAATGATATAAATGGTTGAGAGGAAATGATATAAATTCTTAAGTTTGTGATTAATTTTGATTATGTAATACCATAATTTAAAGCCAATAGTATCACAATTTTTTTAATTAATCTTGGGGATTATATTAATTTTTAGAAAAAAATTATTATTTAAAAAAAAAATGTGTATCCTATAATACGATATGATTTGCAATACACGATTCGAAAAATTAGGTTTTCGATACACGATATGATATGCGATTTGGCAACCATGGTGCAGATAGCATTGCTCGCCTCTTATTTTATATGTAAATGCTCATGTGATATCTGGAAGAGAAATAAAAATATTTTTTAAAGTATTTATATGCCTCAAGGCAAAGAGTAGACTTCTTGATTAGGTTCAAAAGTTTGACCTTTGACCTAATCTAACTCATCTGTTTTGTAATACGTTTAGTTAATCAGATGTGATATTGGATTGCCTTTGTGGCTACCATTAGAATGAAAACTCAATCACCTCAATGTAATTAAAAAATTAGTCACAATAACTATTGTAACAGCTCGTGTGTGAAGGGTAGATTTGAAAGCCATGCTTCTTCCAGTATTACAGTTAACAACTAGCTTTATTCCTAGATTCCAGGGAATAGTTTAAACTACTTAATCAATGTAAAGCATCTCTAATTGCATTATATAATTACCAGAATGAATAATAAAACATAAAATTGTTGCACATGTAACACCGACTACAATAGATTGATAAGGTTCAAAAGTTTGACCTTTCAAACCCAACTCATCTGGTCTGCCCATGATAATCACCCTCTGTGTTTGTACACATGATTTTCATAATATAAATATGGAACAATTACATCGTGTGCTTTTTCGAAGAATCATCGCATCCCGGATGTAGTTTAAACCTTAAATGAATAATCTTCATAGCTTGCATACATCAATTAATGTATGCTCAGAATCAATAAATTAATCAAAGTTTGTAATAATGCAACATCGACTGCATTCATTGGAGAGATACAATAAAAAAAATACAAACGTCCCTCAATTTGTTGAGACTTGAGACTCAAACCTATCCTCACTGGTTATAAAAAAAGGAAATGTTCTATTCCAACTGCATGTCTCCACCTTAAAAACATGGCTTCTTCCCTCAATCTGATCTTCCTCTTCTCTATTGCCTTTGTCTTCATTAATTTGTCCTCCATTAATGCATCAGTAAAGGGTACCCCCAGCGGCTTCAATTTTCATATCAAAAAAGATAATGCTACTCTCCAGTAGTACACCACAATTGCCATGGGAACACCTCTTGAGTATATTGAAGTGGTGGTTGATCTTGGAGGTCCGTTACAATGGTTCGACTGTTTTAGTGGTTACAACTCCTCTACTTATCACCCTATATACTGTGGCTCTTCTACATGCGATGTTGCGAATGCTTTTGGTTGTAATATTTGTGGTGGTGATAGATTTGGATGTATCAACAGCACTTGTGGTCCTTATCTTTCAAATCCATTTGATCAAAACATTTTGGCGGGTGGAATTCTAAGCGAAGATACCACATCACTATCTTTAATCGATGGTTTAAGGTACTTGAATGATGTACTTATGCGCCGCCTTCTTTTCGTTTGTGCAAATAAAAACCACTTATTTGGCCTTGGTAATGGTACCCGAGGAGTTTTAGGCCTTTCAAGATCTTAAGCTGCTTTGCCAACACAACTCTCTTTGGCATTCAACAAATCTCGTAAGGTTGCTCTTTGTATACCCTCTTGAAATGAGGACGGGTATGGGGACATTTTCATTGGTGGTGGTCCTTACTATATGCCTCCTTATACCAAAGATCTGTCAAAGGGTCTTATCAAAACCAAACTTCTCATTAACCCTGTAACCGCCCTTCCACTTATTTCAGATCTTCCTTCTGTTGAATATTTCATTGATGTCAAGTCCATCAAAATAGATGGAAAATTTGTTTCCTTCAACACTTCTTTGCTCTCCATTGACAAAGAAGGAATGGGAGGGACAAAACTTAGTACAGTTACTCCATACACAATATTACATGCTGCTATTTATAAGGCTTTGTAACACCTGCTCTCTACTACTATTCTTATAATACATACTATATAAATTATAGATATACATAGCGTATGAAAGATAGTGGGCTCAAAATTTTCTTTACTCATAAAATATAATTCTTTACAAATACAAAAGAAAGGTATTAAAAACTTTCTACTTAATACAAAATATCATAGTTGGTGGACAGTGGTGCCAATACTCTCCGCTCCTCGACATCCATCCGACTGCAGCTCCTATTTCTTGCAAAACAGAGAAGAACAACGGGGTGAGCACAACAATGCTTAGTAAGTAAATCCTCTACTACCTGTTCCCGCAACTCACTCTTTGGTTCTTCCTTACTCTAACGTTCTTCTATTTCTAATTCTCACTGTTTTTCTCTCTGTTCTTATTCTCTTTTCTTCTTCTCTTATTCTTACTCACCATGAAAGAAAATCATGGTTCTCTCTTAGTCTCATCCTACTCACCATGAAGGAAAATCATGGTTCTCTCTCTTATTCTCGTTATACTCTCACTAACCATGGAAGAACTCATGGTGCATGCATATATGAGATGTACATGTCATTAATGCAAAAGAACTACATGTTTCTTTCTTCTACTCTTTATTCTTACTAACTCAAACTTTCGCATTCTTTCTCATACTCTCTCTCTCTTTCTATCTCATTCCTTCTCAAGCTTTCTCATTCTTTAATTCTTTCTATTATCCCATTCTCATTTCTGTCTCTCTTTCTCATAACTCTTTTCTGTTAACTCTCTTTAGTAGTCATGGCCTCATCTTACCGGAGGCACGGCCGGGACTCGCTCCCGCTCTACGTGACTTTTCCTCATTCTAGCGGATCGGACTTGGTTATGCATGGATTCGGAACCTTTGGCCATGTGAGTGTACAGTCTCTATCTCGGGTACTCAGGTATAGCCCTCATCCGCATGCACTCTCACGGGCTACATCACTTCTCTTTCTCATACTCATGCCGCTCTCTCAATGCGGCGTACATGCGGGAATACTCTATCCATTACTCAAGGGTTTCCCATCGCATAACCTACTCTATGCTCTTATCTCTCTCTTATTCTTCTCATGTTTGCTCATCTCTTTCTCAAGCTAGTACTCATACTCAAGCTAGTGTACTCATAATACAACTTAACTCTTAGCTTTTCTCATCTCTGTTCTTTCTATTTCTTTTCTTTCTCATTCTTACTCATTGGAATGTCATGACCTCATCTGACCGGAGGCACGGCTCGGCGCTACCACTCTACGTGACTTCCGCTTATTTCTCTACCGATCGGATTTGGTCATGCATGGATTCGAAACCTTTGGCCATGTGAGTGTACATGCTTTCTCTCTATCTCTCTCAAATGTCATGACCCCTTCTTACCGGAGGCACGGCTGGAACCTCATGTTCCACTCTACGTGACGGTCATGACCTCATCTGACCGGAGGCACGGCTGGGGATCACAAAGCACCCACTCTCGTGACTTTACTCATCACTCACAGGTTCCCCATCGCACAACTTACTCTATTATCTTCTTTAACTCTTGTGCACAAGATCTCTACTCTTTCTCTAGCTATTCATCATAATGTAGCTTAACTCTTAGAGTAATTCTCTACTACTCTCTCAACTTTTTCTCAAGTTCTTCTCAATGCACACTTAATGCATATGGATGGTTCATGCTCATTAATGCACTTAGGAAATGCCAATATGCAATGTTGCAATAATTAAGGGTCATAATTCATTCTCATGCTTTTCTTAGGCATTTCATCAAACAACTTATGTGCATATAAAAACTCTTCTCTAACTACAACTCTATTTCTCTCTTTAACCATCCAAAATTGGAAGTAAATTCCCTTCCATGGGCATAATCCCTACCATAGAAGAACAATCCCAAAATACATACTCAATTTCATCTAACTTCATCTCAAATCATCACAAATCTACACTCCTTATAAAGGAGAAGTATCCAACAACTCAACATGAATACTCATCTCAATTTAATTCCTCAACAAGTAGGCATATATCTCTACACAATTTCTCAATAACATACATATAACATGCATACATCATTTCTACTAAATCTCTACTCAAAAGAATTCTCAAATCTCAACTTGGGTTGGGATTTACTTACCTCATACTTGAGTAGTCTCCACTAAAGCTCTCTACTCTTGTTGGACCATAGCTTTCCCTTATTTCCTAAGCATAAACTTAGTAAGAACTTAACCCTTACATAAATAAAACTCATCTCTAGAGTAGGGATTCTTACCTCTTTTTGCTTAGGATCACTTCTTTGTCAAATTCCAACTCAAAACTCTCAACAATCCCTTGGAAGATTGAGTGAGGAATTGAGAGAAAATGGGAGATGAAGAGGCGGTGGAAATGGGTGAAATGAAGGGGTTTAGAGAACTAAACTCTTATTAGCTCATATAATATACACTCTTTCCCATTTTGCCTTTACTCTTTCTTGAAATTTTCACCTTTATCCTTTAATTCTTTACAAACTCACCCACATTTTACACTATTCTCCATGAAATTTTCTTGCATTTTACTCCTTACTTTTCCTGCTAATTAGGGGTAGAAAGGTCATTTTACCCCTATGGAGAATTCTCTAGAAACCTCAAGGAACTTTTCTGCCGTCCCGTCGCCGCGGCGAAGAACTTTCTTTCGCCCCGACGAAACAGTCTAGAACCGACACCGCCAACACAGAACCAACGTCGCCGCGGCGAAGCTTCTCCCTCGCCCCGGCGAAGACTGCAACTCCAAAATCTGCTAAGTCTTGAACAATTCCATGATAAACACTCAACCAAACCCAAAACATAAACTCAACCAAAGGCCAACAAACAACATGAACAATATACAAACTCATTTAGGGGCAATTCGATAACCCTTTAGGCCATACCGTAAACAATGGTTACGTATTTCAAGTGGGGTGTTACAGGCTTTGGTCAAAGATTTCATCCAGAGAAGGCCGAAGCCAAGAAAATGAAGAGGGTGAAGGTAGTAGCTCCATTTGCTGTATGCTTTAGCTTCAAGAACGTTGCTACTACTAAGACAGGACTAGCTGTGTCGACTATCGATCTGATGCTGAAAGGAAAGAACACATCTTGGAGGATTTATGGTGCCAATTCAATGGTGAAAGTGAAGAAAAATGTGTTATGCCTAGGATTCATAGAGCCAGAGAATGACCCAAGAACTTCAATAGTTATAGGAGGGCATCAGTTGGAAGACAATTTCTTAGAGTTTGATCTTTCATCCTTAACACTTGGTTTTACCTCTTCGCTCCTTCTCCATACCACAAGCTGTTCTCATCACAGGCTTTTGTAAAGCATTAACACTGTAACCAATTAAGGATGTTGGGAATTTTCTTGTTTTGGTCATTCTCGCGAACATCATGTCTGCAACTTCTGAATAAGGAGTTTTTCTTGTAACATTCCGCAAATTTGAAGTTCACCATTTCTTTTGAGAAATGATTATGTATCAAGTTGAATTTGAAGAGCTGGTAATAAAGAAAACCAAGTTCAACTATAAGGACAAAGTGATAATTCTACAGGTTTTGAATTTTAAAAAATCCATGGCAACTGGGTAAAGCTATTTATACAAACTCAAAGAGAATTTGTACAAATGGACGTGGCACATCAAATGAGTGTCACGTGACATAAGCACCCACGTGACATTAATGTGATATTAAATTATGTGATTCCCAATGCCACATGGCATGTCATGTGACGTGTCACGTTAGTTTGTACAAACTCTCTTTGTATGAGAGTTTGTACAAATAACATTATCCATGGTAACTTTATTCATTTAAAAATTGAAAAGATAAATTAGCAAGTGCAATACTATGCTTACAACTGAATCATACAAACAGATGAAAAACAAAGGATAAAGAAGTCATTTTATATAAATTTGTGTGATTTTTGTCTGTTTGTATGATTCAGTTGTAAACAAAAATTATTGAATTTGTAATTTACATTCTCATATATAGTTGAGGGTATATGAATAATTTCATATTTAAAGAGTGGGTATATTTGTAATTGAACCTATTGAAATGACAAATTATAAAAAAATTAAAAGGTGGTATTTTCATATTTTTAGTTACATTAGTAATAGAAAACCCTAACGAAACTTGACGAAGGGAGGCAAAGTATCATTTTGAAACTTGACAGTGGAAAAGTGTCGTTTCATCAAACCTCGGGTGGGAAAATGTGGATCCCCCTAAGCACATGATGGAAGTAATGGGTTGACTACGTGTTCCAACAAGAAACTCACCGCCAGTTGTTGTAGGAACACAATAAGCAATATTTCTTTATCAAATAGACTTGACAAGAAGCGACATTAAAGTTACCAAATGTTTGATAAAAATGTTATATTTAAATTATTTGTAAGAAATTGGTATTAAAGCTCCTGAACCCTGAAAGGGTTTCAAATGTTACCCTGTGATTTACTTATATTTATTTCATTACATTATGGAGAATAATAATAGGAAAATGATACTGTTAGATTTCTAAGGTTTACGTAATCCTAAACTAGCAGTGAAACGTTTATCAACTCAGCAATCAGAAATGTAACAAATGAAGATAAAGAATGAATGAAGCATAAACAAGACACAAAAATTATAGTGGTTAGGCTTTGCAGCCTACATCCACTCTCCAAGGCTCACAATAGGGCATTTAATTATCAATCAAGATAGTACAGAGAAAAGATCAGATCAGAACTTGAAAGATTACAATAAGGAAAGAACACACCCAAATCCGAAAAACCCTAGGTTTTCTTCAATCTGAAATCTGCACATTCCTTCAGCATCAACATGTTATAAATATACATGCTCCCTTCTTAGATCGTCATCCACTTATCTTTGATTCCTCCATAACCGTAAGATGAAATCGATTCTGGAACATTCTTAGGGTTAAGAGCTGTTGAACCAAAACAGAAAAGAGAGGGATGAAGTCTGCGTAAAAGTGTGATAGCCTATCAGATAACTCATTAGGTTTAGCCAAAACGACGTCGCAACATGTGTTTGACTT